GGCCCCATGACCGGCAAAAAAAAAAAAAAAAGATACAGAGGGGTTACAGTTACAGGAGTAAGGTAATGAGTACATTTCCTATCAAGCATTGTTACCCTCTCCTCTGTTTTTGCCCTACTATCCCTTCCCTCCCCTGTATTTTCTAATTTTTGCCAATAAACATCTATTGGGTTCACAATTAAAGACCATCATCAAACACTAAAAACATGGCAAATGCTTTCTCATGTTCTGAGCATTTCTGAAGAAAGCCGAGGACAAAGCTGGCATTCCAGAGGACCCCCAAGTTTTGGAAACAGTTTAAGCTAATAGCTACAAATGGCCTACCCCCTTTCCCTGTGCCTCCGCTGAAAGACACACAGAGTGCGCGTGCTCAGGGAGGGCCTGTGCACCGGGCTGGGCTGTGGGGCAGCCTCTTTATGTTACTATTCCCCAGCCTCCTTTTGAATGGGCACGCCTAACCCTTACGGGTCAGACAGAAGTACACTTAACTAAGCGCCGAGTTCATAGTAGACGTGTGTATTTACATTAATCAGGTCTTCTGTTTCTACCCATGAAGGGCCTGCAATTCAGTGTTCACTGCATTAGAGAAAAGTCAAGAAGCAATTGAAATTACCAGTGAAAACCACATCATCCAGGTTTGTTGTTTGGAAAGGTGTCCTTCCACGTTGCTTGTTTCGTGTCCTTCCACTCTCAGGATTGAACCAATACAGTATTTATTTCCTTTCTTTCCTTAGAGGATTATAAGACTAAAATCAATAAAACGTAAACTTCCAAGTAGCTTTCTAGAAAAGAGAACATACCAGTAATTATAGTTTTAGAAAATATGGAATAACATGGGTGTGCCTTGTGTATATCTGTGTGTGTGTATGCGTGTGTGCGTAGCACAGAGAGACGGCTGGGCGGAAGATGCCGTGCGGCGCAGGGAGAGCGGGGGCTCTGCAGGCCGCAACTAAAAATGTGAAAAACGAGAGCCTGCGTCAGCGTCAGCTATTATTAGCACAGCTTGAAAACCCAACCAGGGTCATGGAGCAGAAGCTCTTGGGCTTCTCTTGTGCCCAGATAAGTATCCCCAAAGACTGCCAAGGAGCGGAGTCGGATGTAAGCACAGGAGAGCTTGAGCCTGCATTCACCACCATCACCAGCGCAGCGGGTCAGAGTTAGCCCCGCCCTTCCTCGAGCAAGGTTTTATAGGGTTTTTAGGGACTTCCATGTGTCATTGAAACACTTAACAAATCATAAAATAATTCTTTTTTTTGTCGGTCATGGGGGCTGATCTCTGGGCCTGGGCGCTGTCCCTCAGCTCTTGAGCTCAAGATGAGCGCTCTACCACTTGAGCCACAGCGCCACTTCTGGCTTTTTTTTTTGCTTATGTGGTGTTGAGGAATTGAACCCAGGGCCTCATGCATACAAGGCAAACACTCTACCTCTGAGCCAACTTCCCATCCACCTCATAAAATAATTTTTTGGGGGGGGTCTGGTCATGGGGCCTGAACTCTGGGCCTGGGCGCTATCCCCCAGCTCTTCAGTTCAAGGCTAGTGCTCTACCACTTGAGCCACAGTGCCACTTCCGGCTTTTTTCTTTTTGCTTCTGTGGTGCTGAAGAATCGAACCCAGGGCCTCAGGCATGCAAGGCAAGCGCTCTACCACTGAGCCACCTTCCCAGCCCTCATAAAATAATTTTAAAAGATGATTATTGTCACCAGTGGCGGGAGCCAACCAGGTACTAGGGACTGGCTGGTTCATGGGGCTGATACTCTCTGAAATGATTGGCTGGAGCGGATGGTCTGACCCCTGACCAGTGATCCTTATCCTGTTATCTGCTGATTAGCTATGGTTAGCAGAATTTTCCATAAAGGAGATTGCTCCTGGAATTTGGGCTCAAGGGCATCAAGGGAAGTTGCTGATTTCCTGGAGTATCAAGGGGAGTTGCTGACACAGTTCCCGGGCAAAATGGAATCCAAACCTAAAATTGCTATATTCCCCTCCTGGCTAGTGACTAAGGGGCCAGTCATGGTCCCTTCATAGCTAGTTCTTTGTTAATGTCATCTACGGGTCGATACTGAGATCTGAGAACCGGTACCCGGACCGAATTAACCCGCTCTTTTACAAAGGTTACTAGCCTGTTAATCACGCAAGGACCAGTTGTGAGTATCAGAATTAATGTCAGGGGTCCCCCCAAAGGCATTATCTATTGGGCCATCTAGTGTCCAGGTTGGAGGTGGGACGTTTGCGAAGCCCCTGGTGCAGTTCTTCCAAGACGCTTGTGTGTTCTTCTACCAGCCCGACTCTATCCCAGCTAACTGGATCTTATGCCAGCTGTACTCATAAGCTCCTCCAGCGACTGTCCTCCCCACGCTGTCGTTGAACTTTACCCATTAGGGTGTACAGCAGCAGCAGCAGCAGTAGCAGCAGCAGAGTCTCAGTGGCTCCAACGGACTATCACACCTCGTGTTGGGCTGCAGATTCCTACACAGACTGGTTAAGCACACATTGCATAGACTTGGCAGGCTGTGGCCCCACTGGCTTTTAAGGCTGTTCAGACAATGGCCCAGGACAATTTACCAAGACAACAACTTTTTAAACAGACACAGAAGGCTTGGTCTTGTAACCATGTCCGACAGGTGCAGACCACACTTGGACATCTGTTAACACTATTCTATTTTGCCTCATTTTTCCAAAACTGACTCTGGACTCTTGATCTTTAAAAGGGGGTTGATGAGCGAGCGAAGGTCCAGCTTCTGTAACTTCTTCAAGCTAACTTCAGGGGTGTTGATCCTACCTAGGCCAGAACCTGTAACCTAGGCCTAGTTTAACTCTTGACAAATGCACATAACTTTTCTCTAGCTGCAGCGGTGTAGCTTGTTTAGAGCGCTCTGGCTTGCAAAAGCATCTTTCTGGACGGCTTTAGGAATGTGATCTCTCATGACCCTAACTATGCCTTCAGACAGATGTCGATAGGGACACACTCTCAGGTTTATAAACTTTTTTCCTGAACAGATGAATTTCTTGTAGCTGGTATCAGCTCAGTTACTGCCAATTAGGGCTTTTGGCAAATACAGGGGTTGGGATTTAAACTGTCCCCCACATTTTGTAACTCTAGCTTTTTACTGCTATCACAGAGGACTGGCAAGTTCCTGTCTCTTACAAGGTAGATAGTCATGGACATTAGGCACGCTTACAAACTATCTTCCCATGACCTCGTGGCTCTGACCAATTGTTGAAGGGTCACGCACAAATGACTCTAGGATCTGACATTATTTCTGCCATCCAAGCAGGGGCTTACAGTCTCTGGATGCTCCTCCATTGCTTTTGTCCCAGGAATGTCTTCTCCACCTGGGATAAATGCCTCATGGCCATTTCTCTTAGCTGGTTGCTGGACTTGAACTTGGGGCCTGAGTGCTGTCCCTCCTCAGCTCTCCAGCTCAAGGCTAGCACTCTGTCACTTTGAGTCCCAAAGCAACTCTGCTTGCTCTTTCAGCACTCTGCTGGCTGAGTAGAGGTGACAGTCTCACAGGGACCTTTTTCTGCCTGGGCTGGCTTCGAACCAGTTTGCAGATCAATGAGTCTTATAAAAGGCCACTTTAGTCAAATTAAAAGCAACAAGGTGTCGGGTGCCAGTGACTCACGCCTGTAATCCTAGCTACTCAGGAGGCTGAGATCTGAGGATCCTGGTTCAAAACCAGCTCAGGCAGGAAAGTCCATGAAACTTATCTCCAGTAAACCACCAGAAAACTGGAAGTGGCTCTGTGGCTCAAGTGGTAGAGTGCTAGCCTTGAGCTGAAGAGCTGAGGGACAGCGCCCAGGCCCATGACTGACAAAAAAAATAAAATAAAAGCAACAAGGTGATCAACATAGAAGTAGTTTTTAAGCATGCTCTTACCTGAAACTTATTAAGAGTCAAAGTTACATCTGACAACTTGTAAGAATCCTCTGTGCTTTGCTCTGGGCTTGCTGGAAACTGTTAAAAAAAAAACTATAAGAGCAAACTGGAATAGCAATTATTTTGGTAATCCTAATTTTCCTTTGTGCACTTTGAGGCAAATGTTAAGAACAATTTTACTTTTAAACGTTATATCAAAAAATCCATTCCTAATCTTTAAGCCTCTTAATTAATCTCTTTTAATATTTTATACTTTAATTTTCATTTGCATTTTGAAAAGATCCTTTGAAATCCTGAGGCCAAGTGTCACTCATTGCCTCTTGGCTGCTTGTTTTAAAACAGAAACACATGAAAAACTTTTAAACTCAAATGACAATTTTTCCTTAATGCAAGAATTGCAATCACCATCACTGTACCAGGGAGCTAGACTTAACACCTTTATGACTTTTAAAAATATATCCTACTTGGAGAACATCATTGAAAGCAAGTCACATTATACAAATTAACTTTTTTAACCCTCTTTTTAAGGCCTTCTTAATTTTAATTTTAGCCCATCCAAGGGGCAGTTTTAGCAATGCTATCAGATCTTCACATCACTCATTTTAACCATCATGTTTCCAGTGTCTCTCTGCAGGGACAAGGGACAGAATAAAGATGGGCCACTCGGCCCCTCCTGTGGAATGGCCTCGCACCCAATCTGACTCTAGGGTTAGATGAACTGCGTTTGTGCCAGCTTGCCCTCTTTCACCATGCGTGGACTCCTCCCAGGGCCCGTCCCACCATGCATGACCCGCTGAACTGCACTTCTGCCTGTTCAGGCTTCACATTTCCCACCTTCCTGGGAAGAAAGCGGGGCTCAGGTAGAGACCCTGGGGTCTCCTCTTTTCCTGGTGCCTTCAATTCCCTTGATGCCTTCTCTTTTCTCTTCCCAGTACGTAAATCCTGCGTTTGAGAGAACAATGGGCTACCAGTCAGGTGAACTGATAGGGAAGGAGCTGGGCGAAGTGCCTATAAACGAGAAAAAGGCAGACTTGCTGGACACGATCAATTCCTGCATCAGAATAGGCAAGGTAAGTGGGCCTGCGCCCTTCCTCACTGGTACTAACGGAAGTGCTGGAAGGACCGGCGCCAAAGGCCCGCCGTCCTGCCGAGGGCTGTGCGCACATCCACCGCGCTTCCGCTCCCCAGCTCCAGCACAGGCCCAGGAACTCAACCTTCCACGCACTTCAGGTCAGTAAACATAGGTGCCTAGTGTATGCTGAGGAAATACTTTTTGCTTCCGTGGGTGACAAAACAAGTCAGAGCCCATGACTAGCTAAATCATTTCCTTTGGTGGACTGGGAAGAAATCCTAAAGAGCTTATTCACAGTGCTGACTGCTTGATTGAACTAATCTCCCTCTTCCTGTCTCTCCTCTCTCCCCCTTCTCTCCCTTCCTTTCCCTCTATTTTTTTCAACACAACAGTTCTAATTATATGTATATACACACAGACACATATATAATATATGTAATATTCATGTATAATCCTCATGCCATATCACTCCCCCGTTTCAAGTGCACAGTCAGTGGTTTTTGGCATATTCACACGGTCGTGTGAAAATCACAATTTCTTTTTTTTTTTTTTTTTT